TTCCTTCCTTCCTTCCTTCCTTCCTTCCTTCCTTCCTTCCTTCCTTCTCTCCCTCCCTCCCTCCTTCCTTCTTTCCTTTTTCTTCTTCTTCTTCTCTTCTTCTTCTTCTTCTTCTTCTTCTTCTTCTTCTTCTTCCTCTTCCTCTTCCTCTTCCTCTCCTTCTCCTCCTCCTCCTCCTCCTCCTCCTCCTTCTCCTCCTCCTCCTCCTCCTCCTCCTCCTCCTCCTCCTTCTCTCTCTCTCTCTTTCTCTCTTTCTCTCTCTCTCCTTTCCTGGCTTCATGTGGTTTGATTTCTCTCTCTCTCTTTTTGGAGACAGAGTCTCGCTCTCTTGCCCAGGCTGGAGTGCAGTGGCATGATCTCAGCTCACTACAACTTCTGCCTCCTGGGTTCAAGTGATTTTCTTGCTTCAGCCTCCCGAGTAGCTGGGACTACAGACGCCCCCCCCCCCCACACCCAGCTAATTTTTGTATTTTCAGTAGAGATGGGGTTTCACCGTATTGCCTACTCTGGTCTCAAACTTCTGACCTCAAGTGATCCGCCTGCCTCAGCCTCCCAAAGTGCTGGGATTACAGGTGTGAGCCACGGCACCCAGCCTAGATCTGCTTTCTTATGAGTCAGGAAGCCATGCTCCCTGGAGCAGGTGTTAAGATGACGTGCTGTCCCTGGCCACCACACGTTAGAAGACACTCTTCACAGCGCAGATGCTGGGAATTTGTAAGAGAGGCTAACAAAGGGTTGTATAATTCTGGGAGAGGGGCCAAGGGCTCTTAAGACTAGACTTGCAATTCCCAAGAAAGATGCTTAAGATCCTTAGCATTTGGCCACACAGAGTGACTCATGCCTGTAATCCTAGCTACTTGGGAGGCCGAAACTGGAGGATTGCTTGAGGCCAGGAGTTGGAGACCAACCTGGGCAACATAGTTGAGAGCCTGTCCCCTGTCTCTACAAAAATAAAAATAAAAAATTAGCCGGGCATGGTGGCCTGCGCCTGTAGTCCCAGCTACTCAGTAGGCCGAGGTAGGAAGATCGCTTGAGTCCAGGAGATGGAGGCTGCGGAGAGTCGTGATTGCACCACAGCACTCTAGTCTGGACAACAGAGCAAGACCCTGTCTCTAAAAACAGAAAGAAGGCTGGAAGTCCTTCTTCCCTTCTCTCCCTGTGGGGGGCAATCTGCTCCCTGGGAAGGGGTGAAGCTCTAGGGGCTGCCATTTGGGGTCGACCCCCCTTTATGTGCTCAGCACAGCCTCTTGCCCCCCACCCTCCCTGTCCCTCCAGCGTATGGTCCTCAGCCCCTCCAGTATTTCCCTCCTGCTCATCCTCGCCCTGCTCCTGGGTGGCCGGCACCTTTCGTCCCTCTTCAACCTTTGGCCAATGCTGAGATATTTCCAGAAACAGGGCCAGGTGAGGATTTTGGGATTGGAGTAGCAGGTGAGATTTATTGCTCTGGTAGGTCTTGACAGGGAAACTGCCGTCAGAAGAGACCTCACAGGTCCAGAACGCCGATCCTGAGGGTGGCGGGTAGAAGAGGTCCCTCTGAGAGCAGACAGGAGGTGGGTGGCTGGAGAGCGGGCTGAGACAGACCCTGTGTGGCTGCAGAGAGCAGGGGTCCTAGTGCACCCCGACCTCACCCACGCAATGGTCATGACAGTGCAGAACTGTGACGATCAGTCAGATAATCCAGTAGATTGTTTCCCCGTGATGGTCACTAGGGTCCATCTACCCCTTGAGGGACCACGTGAGTAGATGCTGACATAGCGGTCCTCAGAAGAGGAACACGCCACAGTTGGATGGTTTTATTGTTAAATTATTTTTTATTTTTTGAGATGGAGTCTCGCTCTGTCACCTAGGCTGGAGTGCAGCTGTACCATCTCGGCTCACTGCAACCTCCACCTCCTGGGTTCAAGCAATTCTGCTGCCTCAGCCTCTCTGAGTTGTGGGATTACAGGCACCCACCACCACACCTAGCTAATTTTTGTATTTTCAGTAGAGACGGGGCTTCGCCGTGTTGGCCAGGCTGGTCTCAAACTCCTGACTTCAGGTGATCTGCCTGTCTCAGCCTCCCAAAGTGCTGGGATGACAGGCGTGAGCCACTGTGCCCAGCCATTTGGGTGGCTTTAGGAACAGGGGGTGCACATAGCTCCCCAGGTGATCTGCTGGGAGGTAATGCCCACCTGCTGGGTGCCCAGGGATGGCCAAGAGGGTAGCTATCATCAAATGCCAGTCACATAGAGGGAGGTAATATGGTTTGGCTGTGTCCCCACCTAAATCTCACCTTGAATTGTAGCTCCCATAATTTTCACAGGTTGTGGGAGGGACCCAGAGGGAGATAATTGAATCTTGGGGGCGATTTCCCCCCTACTGTTCTCATGGTAGTGAATACGTCTCACAAGATCTGATGGTTTTATAAGGGAAAATCCCTTTTTTCTTGGTTCTCATTCTCTCTTGCCTGCCACTATGTAAAACGTGCCTTTCACCTCCCACCATGATTGTGAGACCTCCCCAGCCACGTGAAACTGTGAGTCCATTAAACCTCTTTTTCTATATAAATTACCCAGTCTCGGGTATGTCTTTATCACCATTGTGAAAACGGACTAATACAAGAGGCATTACTTTTGTTTGTTTTAAGCATGAAAGGAGCTTTTATAGTGCATGACTCACATGCCAGGGCGTTCTGCCCATCTGCTTAAAAAAAATAAGAGGACGGCTAAGTGCGATGGCTCACGCCTGTAATCCCAGCACTTTGGGAGGCCGAGTCAGGAGGATCACATGAGCCCAGGAGTTTGAGCCTAGCCTGGGCAACATAGCGAGACCCCATCTCTACCAAAAAATAAAATAAAATAAATTAGCTGGGCATGGTGGTGCACGTCTTCAGTCCTGGCTTCTCAGTAGGCTGAGGCAGGAGGTTTGCTTGAACCCAGGAGTTTGAAGCTGTAGTGAGCTCTGATCGCATCACTGGACTCCAGTCTGATGACAGAGCAAGATATTGTCTCTAAGAACAAAAGAAAGAGAAAGAAGGAAGGAAAGAAGGAAGGAAGGGAGGGAGGGAAGGAATGTGTAGTGTAGGTAGGATGGAAGGAAGGAAGGAAGGAAGGAAAGAAGGGAGGGAGGGAGGGAGGGAGGGAATCTGTAGTGAAGGGAGGGAGGGAGGGAGGGAATGTATAGTGAAGGAAGGAAGGGAGGGAGGGAGGGAGGGAGGGAATGTGTAGGGAAGGGAGGGAGGGAGGGAATGTGTAGGGAAGGAAGGAAGGAAGGAAGGAAAGAAGGAAGGAAGGGAGGGAGGGAAGGAATGTGTAGTGTAGGAAGGATGGAAGGAAGGAAGGAAAGAAGGAAGGAAGGGAGGGAGGGAGGGAATGTGTAGGGAAGGAAGGAAAGGAGGGAGGGAGGGAATGTGTAGGGAAGGAAGGAAGGAAGGAATTGTGTAGTGTAAGCTCCATTCTGAAGACTGAAGTGTTTTTTGTTTTTTTGGTCCCATCTGTGTGGCAAAAAAACAAACTAAACCAACAAAAAAGCCATCTAACCATTCTAAAACGTATAATTCAGTGGCATTTAGTACATTCACAGGGTTGTGCAACTCCCCCCCACATCTAGTTCCAGAAGATTTTCATCCCCCCCAGAGGAGACCGTGTCCCCATCAGCAGTCACTCCCCACTCCCTTCTCCTAGCCCCTGGCACCCACCAGTCTGATTCCTGTCTCTGTGGATTGCCTTTTCTGGACAATTCAGATCAATGGAGTCATGCACTGTATATGTGTTGTGATTTTTATTTTATTTTATGATTTTATTTATTTATTTATTTATTTATTTTTATTTTTTTTTTTGAGACGGAGTCTCGCTCTGTCGCCCAGGCTGGAGTGCAGTGGCCGGATCTCAGCTCACTGCAAGCTCAGCCTCCTGGGTTCACGCCATTCTCCTGCCTCAGCCTCCCCAGTAGCTGGGACTACAGGCGCCCGCCACTGCGCCCGGCTAGTTTTTTTCTATTTTTTTTTAGTAGAGACGGGGTTTCACCGTGGTCTCGATCTCCTGACCTTGTGATCCGCCCGCCTCGGCCTCCCAAAGTGCTGGGATTACAGGCGTGAGCCACCGCGCCCGACCTTATGATTTTATTTTATTTCATTTTATTTTATTTTATTTTTTGAGGCAGAGTCTCGCTCTGTCACCCAGGCTGCAGTTCAGCGGTGTGATCTCAGCTCACTGCAACCTCTGCCTCCCAGGTTCAAGCGATTTGTGTGCTTCAGCCTCCAGAGTAGCTGGAACTACAGGCGCCTGCCACATGCCTGGGTATTTTTAAAAATTTTTTTACAGAGACGGGGTTTCACCACGTTGGCTGGGCTGGTCTTGAACTTCTGGCCTCAAGCCATCCGCCCGCCTCGGCCTCCCGAAGTGCTGGGATTACAGGTGTGAGCCGTCATGCCTGGCTTGTGCTGTGATTTTATTTGTATTATTTGTTGATTTTTTTTTTTTTGGAGACGGAGTTTCACTCTTGTTGCCCAGGCTGGAGTGCAATGGTGAGATCTCAGCTCATTGCAACCTCCGCCTCCTGAGTTCAAGCCATTCTGCTGCCTCAGCCTCCCAAGTAGATGGGATTATAGGCACATGTCACCATGCCTGGCTCATTTTTTGTATATTTAGTAGCGATGGGGTGTCACTGTGTTGGTCAGGCTGGTCTTGAACTCCTGACCTCAGGTGATCCGCCCACTCTATTCTCCCAAATTGCTGAGATTACAGGTGTGAGCCATTGCGCCCGGCCTGTGCTGTGATTTTAGAGTGAGGCAAACACGGACACATACACATGATAGATATATCTGGACATGTGCATATATATATATCAAGGGATCAAGGTCTCCTTCCACTGCTCACAGGCTGTGAATTCACTTGGCAAGAGGGGAGACAGTTCTAACTCTGCAGTGGTGATGAGCGAAAACAGCTTGGCAACTCTGTTGAGTCAGAAGAGAAGGCTCCTTAACTAGACCAGCGTTTCTCAGTCTCAGCATGGCTGATAGCTGGGGCAGGCTTGGCACCGTGGTTCATGCCTGTAATCTGAGGCTGAAGTGGGAGGATCGCTTGAGCCCAGGAGTTCGAGACCAGCCTGGGCAGCAGAGTGAGACCTTGTCTCTACAAAAAATAAACAAAATAAGCCTGGCTTGGTGGTGCATGCCTGTAGTCCCAGCTCTTCAGGAGGCTGAGATGGGAGGATTGCTTGCGCCCAGGAGGCCAAGGCTGCAGTGAGCCATAATTGTACCACTGCACTCCAGCCTGGGTGACAGAGATAAACCCTGTCTCCAAAAAAAAAAAAAAAAGATATGATCGGGTGCAGTGGCTCACGCCTATAATCCCAGCACTTTAGGAGGCCAAGGCAGGTGGATCGCTTGAGCCCAGGAGTTCAAGACCAGCCTGGCCAACACCTGCCTCTACAAAAAATACGAAAATTAGCCAGGCATGGTGACGCACACCTGTAATCCCAGCTACTCAAGAGGCCAACGTGGGAGAAACACAGCCTGGGAGGCAGAGGTTGCAATGAGCTGAGATAGCGCCACTACACTCCAGCCTGGGCGACAGAGTGAGACCTTGTCTAAAAAAAATAAATAAATAAAAAAGATATTTGGGGCAGTTTGCCGAGGGCGGGGGTGTCCTGCGCTCTGTAAGATGTTGAGCAGCCTCTCTATTCCCCTCTCAAATGACAGTAGCAATCCCCACCCCCAAAGCTATGACACCCCAAAACATCTCCAGAAACTGCCAAGTGTCCCCCCTGGGTCACAGTCACTCCTGGGGTGAGTTCTCCATTCTAGACTCCAAACTCCTTTCCCAGTATCTCAGCCCATTCCAGGGTGACATTCTCGTCCCAAAGCTCCTTCCTCTGCCTGTAGGTGCCCACGGGCCTCCGGGGCCAGGCGCTTCTGAAGGTGTGGGGCCGCGGCCGGCAGGCGGAGGAGGAGCCCCTCTTTCACAACCAGACCTCGGTGACCGTGGACGGCCGGGGTGCTTCCGTGTTCATCCAGACGGACAAGCCTGTGTACAGACCCCAGCACCGAGGTGGGTGGCTGGCACGGATGCAGGGAGGGCCGGCCGTGGTCTGGAGGCGTCACATGCCTCTCTTCTTTCTTCTAGTGCTCGTAAGCATCTTCACCGTCTCCCCAGATCTGAGGCCTGTCAACGAGAAGGTGAGATCAGCTTCTAAAACCGTGGGCCCGGAGCATACCCACTTGGGACCGCCTGGCCAGGGCCACCATTGGAAACTGGTCTTTCTCTCCAGACTTTCTCTTTTCTATTTTCTTTCACAGTTCCATGCCCCCTGGAGAACCCCAGGGAGTTCTTGGTGACAGAGGAAGGCTGGTGGGCGTGCCTGGCCCACTGCTCCTCAACAAGGAATGCTTTGAGGGCTTTAGGTAGCCCTGCACTGTGGCTTAAAAAAATTTTTTTTTCCCAAGACTGAGTCTCTTGCTTTATTGCTCAGGCTGGAGTACAGTGGTGCGATCTTGGCTCACTACAACCTCTGCCTCCTGGGTTCAGGTGATTCTCTTGCCTCAGCCTCCCGAGTAACCCAGATTATAGGCACCCACCACCACGCCTGGCTAATTTTTTTTTCCTTTTTTTTTGAGAGAGAGTCTCGCTCTGTTGCCAAAGTTGGAGTGTAGTGGAGTGATCTTGGCTCACTGCAACCTCTGCCTCCGGGGTGCAAGCAATTCTTCTGCCTCAGCCTCCTGAGTAGCTAGGTGTGCCACCCCAGGCGTGTGCCACCACGCCAGGCTGATTTTTGTATTTTTAGTAGAGATAGGGCTTCACCATATTGGCCAGGCTGGTTTCAAACTCCTGACCTCAGGTGATCCACCCGCCTCAGCCTCCTAAAATGCTGGGATTACAGGTGTGAGCCACCATGCCTGGCCACATTTATGTGCTTTCTGCCTAGCGCTCTCTCTCTGTCTGTATACGTATATATACTTACAAAATTATTTTAATGATAAATCATTTGAGAGTAACTTACAGATATTGTGCCTCTCTGTCTCTGAACACTTGGCCTGTATCCTTTAAGAGCAGGGATGTTCTCTTATATAACTCAAGGAGGATCATCACATTTAAAAATTTTGAGGCCGAGACCATTCTGGGCAACATAGCAAAAATATCTTGACAAAAAATTAAAATAATAAAAATTAGCCGAGCATGGTGGCATGCGCCAGTAGTCCCAGCTGCTTGGGAGGCTGAGTCAGGAGGATCTCTTGAGCCCAGGAGTTTGAGGCTGCAATGAACTGTGATTGTACCACTTGAACTCCAGTCCAGGCAGCAAAGCACAACTCTGTCTCTAAAAAAACCCAAAAAACCAAAAAGAAAAAAGAAAGTGGAAAATAATTTTGACATTGACACAATAATAATATCTAATATAAAATCTATGTTGTTCCAATAGTAACCTTTATAGCATGTTTCTTTGCTGGTCCAGGATCTGATCCTGGGTTATTTTTTCATCATGTCTCTTGGTCTCCTTTAATTTGAATTAGTTCCTCACTGCCTTTCTGTGTCTTTCATGACATTGACATTTTTGGCAAGTCCAGGCAGTTGTTTTGCAGAACGTCCCTTAGTAGGATGGTCTTCTGGTTTCTTGTGACCAAGTTCAAGTTGCGAATCTTGGGCAGGATCCGCAGAAGCGATACTGGATCCTCCCCGGTGCCTTGTATCGGGAGGCACCCGGCATGGGTTTGTCGTGTTGCTGGGGACATTAACAGGGTCCAGTGGTTCAAGCAGTGCCTGCCTGGGTTTCCCTTTTGAGGGTCCTTTTCTAAAGACCCTACTTGGGGTTAGGATTTAATGGATGTAATTTAGGGGGACACTGTTTAACCCATAACAGCGACTGCTTGTCCTGGGGACCGAGGCCATGCATCAATGATGCATGAGCGTGTTGGAAGGGTTTGGGGTTTGCTGAAAGATATGCTCACTGCATCTGTGTCTTCATTACAGCTGGAAGCCTACATCCAGGTGAGTGGCCTCTGTCCCTCCTCAGCTTGGACTTGGGGCCCGGGTAGCCCACCTTCTGCAAGATCTGGTGTGTCTTCGCTCACTGTTTGCCTTCTGGGTTGAGCCACTGTGCCTTACAAGGCTGGGACCCAGCCTCTTCTATCCTGGTCCCTGGTCCATCCTGGGATGGGCTGAGTGTATGTCTGTCCGTTTCCTTTTATTGTTTGTTTTTTTGAGACAGAGTCTCACTCTGTTACCCAGGCTGGATTGCAGTGGTGCCGATCTTGGCTCACTGCAACCTCTGCCTCCTGGGTTCAAGCGATTCTCCTGCCTCAGCCTCCCAAGTAGCTGGGACTATAGGCATGTGGCACCATGCCCAGCTAATTTTTTTTGTGTGTGTCTTTTTTGGTAGAAATAGGGGTTTCACCATGTTGGCCCGGCTGGTCGCAAACTCCTGACCTCAGGAGATCCACCCGCCTCGGCCTCCCAAAGTGCTGGGATTACAGGTGTGAGCCACCACCCCCAGCCACGTCCATTTCTAGGTTTGTTTGTATACAGCTCCCTAAATGAGGAAGCAGGCCCAACCTGTCCCCTTCTGCTTTTCAAATCCTTCTCTATACAGAGCTTTTTACTTTTTTGCCCTGGGATTAATGATTAATCTTGGAACCTTTGCTGCATGGTTGACATGCCCGAGAGAGGACTGGGAAAATCCTTACACTGGGCACACGCTGGGCTAGCCCGAGTTCACTCCATGTGTCTGCCTCTCTCCACCACCAACAGGACCCCCGAGGCTCTCGGATGATAGAGTGGAGACACTTGAAGCCGTTCTGCTGCGGTAAGTTTCTTCCTCTGCAGCTTGAGGCCTGCAGATGTGATAAACCTTCCGGGAAAACAGAATATGCTCTGTCCGGGGCCCCCTCCCTAACGTACCCGCACTGCTGCCCCAGCTGGAGAGGACCAAGGAGGAGTGGAGGGCAGGTACCCACCTGGGAGGTGATGATGCCATGGGTTTGGATCTAGGAGCCTCAGCCTGGCCCACAGCGCCTACCCTGTGGATTTGGACCCTCTGCCCATGTTTCTCTGTGCCCAGGACTCAGGCGGGGCTCCGGCTCAGAACTCAAGACCTTTCTGGAATACTGGGGCACCTGCTCTCACCTTGTTTTTTATTTTTTGAGACAGAGTCTCTCTCTGTCACCCAGGCTGGAGTGCAGTGGCGCAATCTCGGCTCACTGCAACCTCTGCCTCCCAGGTTCAAGCGCTTCTCCTGCCTCAGCCTCCCGAGTAGCTGGGATTACAGGTGCACGGCACCATGCCCGGCTAATTTTTGTATTTTTAGTAGAGACGGGGTTTCACCATGTTGGCCAGGTTGGTCTCAAACTCCGGACCTCAGGTGATCCACCCGCCTTGTCCTCCCAAAGTGTTGGGATTACAGGCGTGAGCCACTGCACCCGGCCTGCTCCCACCTTCTTCCTGCTGTGGGTTGCAGATTTTGTCAATCCCATTACATGAGACATTTTTTTTCCAGCTAGAAGTCAGAAGGGACTTTGCTTTTTTTTTCTTTTCCTATGACTAGGAGGACTGTGTAATTGACATACCCCACTTTGCTTTGGCTGTGAGGGGTGCGATGCCCCAGGAGAGGGCAGGGGATAGGTAGGATGTGGGGAGTCTGGGGATGGCCATGCACACACTTGGGCTGTCCAGAAATAGGGTAACAGTAGAACCACAGCCAGGACCACGGAGGTCTCTTGGTGAGCCTTCCTCCTTTTGTCTCCTGTCTTGGGTCTCAGCCTCTTTTCTTCATCTTCCTTCTTCTTCTTTCTTCTTTTTCCTCTTCTTTCTCTTCTTCTTCTTCTTCTCCTCCTCCTCCTCCTCCTCCTCCTCCTTCTTCTTTCTTCTTTGGGTCTCAGCCTCTTTTCTTCTTCTTCATCTTCCTTCTTCTTCTTTGTTCTTTTTCCTCTCTTTCTCCTCCTCCTCCTCCTTCTCCTCCTCCTCCTCCTTCTCCTCGTCTTCCTCCTTCTCCTCCTCCTCCTCTTCTTCTTCCTCTTCTTCTTCTTCCTCCTCCTCCTCCCCCCCTTCTTCTTCCTTCTTCTTCTTTCTTCCTCCCCCTCCTCCTCCTCCTTCTTCCTTCTTCTTTCTTCTTCTCCCTCCTTCTCCTTTTCTTTTTTTCTTCTTTTTTTTTTAGACAGAGTCTTGCTCTTGTCACCCAGACTGGAGTGCAGTGGCGCGATCTCGGCTCACTGCAATCTCTGCCTCCCGGGTTCAAGCCATTCTCCTGCCTCGGCCTCCCAAGTAGCTGGGATTACAGGCACGTGCCACTAGGCCTGGCTAATTTTTGTATCTTTAGTAGACACAGGGTTTCACCATGTTGGCCAGGTTGGTCTTGGACTCCCAAATTCAGGTGATCTGCCCACCTTGGCCTCCCAAAGTGCTGGGATTATAGGCGTGAGCCACCGTGCCTGGCCTCAGCCTCTTTTCTTCTGTTCCATCTTCCCTGTCTGCCTTCTTTACTCCCTCTCGTTCGCTCGATTGCTCTCTCTGTATGGCAGATATTTGTTGGGTACCACATAGATACTGCCATGGGGTGAGCTTTCAGCCCAGTGGGGGAAGCAAACATGAACTAAACAGCCTGGATAATGTTAGTTGTGATGAGTGCTAGGAAGGAGAAGTTCAAAACTCAGAGAGGGCAAACAGGGCTGTATCCCATCCTGGGGTGGCAGAGACAATCCTGGAAGGCTGCCTGGAGGAGGATCCTTTTCAGCAACAAAGAAGGAATGGGGGACAGCCAGGCAAAGAAAGGGGGCCAGGAAGCATGTCCCAGGCAGGGACCCAATGTATGGGAAGGGCTGTGGATGTCTAGGGGAGTGAGGTTGGAGACAGTGGACAGGACAGAGGTGTCGAGCGCTGAGAGCAGGGGTGACGCTGGCAAGAATCAGGGAAGAGAATGGACTTGATCTTTTTTTTTAAAACTTTTTTTTTTTTTTTTTTAAAGAGGCAATTTCTCTCATTTTGTCACCTAGGCTGGAGTGCAGTGGCGTGATCATAGCTCACTGCAGCCTCTACCTCTTGGGTTCAAGCGATCCTCCCACCTCAGCCTCCCAAGTAGCTGGGACCACAGGCACATGCCACCAAGCCCAGCTAATTTTTAAAATTTTTGGTAGAGAGGGGGTCTCAAGATGTTGCCTAGGCTGACTTGATCTTAAGAGCACAGAGTTGGGGGAGAGGTCAACCTCCCGTTTAAAAAAACCATTTGGGGCCTAGCTTGGTGGCTCACACCTGTAATCCCAGCAATTTGGGAGGCTGAGGCGAGTGGATCACCTGAGGTCAGGAGTTCAAGACCAGCGTGGCCAACATGGGGAAACCCCTGTCTCTACTAAAAATACAAAATTAGCCGAGTGCGGTGGCAGGTGCCTGTAGTCCCAGCTATTCAGGAGGCTGGGGCACAAGAATCGCTTGAACCCGGGCATGAGCTGAGATCATGCCACTGCACTCCAGCCTGGGCTAAAGAGCAAGACTCTGTCTCAAAGAAATAAAAAAATAAAAAAAATTCTTTGGGATGTGTGTAGACCCATGATTCTCAACCAGGGTGACAGTGCCCCTCTCTCAGCGAGCATTTGGCAAAGTTGGCCACAGACCCCTTACAAAACACGTGCTCAGGACACACATCCCCGAATGTCCTCTAACCATCAAAGGCCCACTTTGTCTGAATATGCAGAGGAAAAAGCCGTTTTAGCCGTCACATCTTCCGACTCCAGTGTGATTGGGAGAAGCCGTGGGCGCTGCTGTGGGTTTTGGGTTCTGTCGTGAGACCCAGGGGAACCACTCTCCCCGGCCTCCCTGTATGGCCCTCCCCCTATGATCACTGGGGACGCGTGGAGCGTGTCACACTCAGGAGTGGAAGATCCCCTGGCACTGCCTAGAGTCAATGTGCCCTTTCCAACTCCTCCATGGCTCCCACTGAAAACAGAGCTGTGGACGGGGCTCAGAGGCACAGGTGCAAAGCAAATGCCAGCTCCCATGTCAGCGGCTGATGGTGTTTCTGGGCGGATGTTTGGGGGAGAGAGTGCTCTGTGCTAAAGTGTGTGTGTGCTGTAGTTCAGTTAGGGGGGTGGTTCTCACAGAGAGGTGGGGGGTCGGGTGGGAGATTCTGCCCCCAGGGGACCTTGACAATGTCTGGGGACATTTTGCCTTGTCAAGACTTTTGTGGAAGACAAGAGGTGCAACGGGCATCTGGTGAGTGGAGGCCAGGGATGATGCTTAGCACCCCTCAGTGCACAGGACGCCCCCGCACCACAAGGAATGATCTGGCCCTAAATGTCAGTAGTGCTGGGGCTGAGAAACCCTGTCCTGGCAGAAGACCCTGTCTGTCTTGTCTGTTTCTCTCTCTGTCTCTCTCTCTCTCTCTACAGATATATAACACATATAATGTATATTATATATAACATATAGTAATATACATTATATAACATATAATATATTATAGAACATATTATGTAACATAATATATAATATAGGAAAATATAATATATATTATATATTATATAACATAACATATATATCATATATTATATAACATATATTATACATTACATAACATTATATATTATATATTACATAACATTATATATTATATAACATAATATATTATATAATATATAACAATATATGTCATATATTATATATTATCATATATTATATATTATATAACATAGTATATATATTATATATGTGTTGTGTGTGTGTGTGTATATATGTATGTGTGTATATATATGTGTGTATGTGTGTATATATATGGGATTTCCACCCGGGGTGATTTTGCCCCCTAGAGGCGATATTGGCAATGTCTGGGGGACTTTTTTAGGTCGTTAGATTGTGGGGGGAATTGGTACTACTGGCATCTGGTTAGTGGAGGCCAGGGATGCTACTCAGTATCCTACAGTGCACAGGACACCTCCACCCCAGAGAGCCATGCGACCCCAGGTGTCAGTAGCACCCAGGCTGGAAATGACTCGGGTTGGGGGGGATGGAGTGGATGAGCCGGGCTGGCTCATTTCCCTCGTTTGTCCAGCTCACTGCCTGCCCCTGGTCCTGGCTGCAAGGCTGTCCCAGGAACCCCAGGTCTCGTCTCTTCTTGCATCCCTTTGAAGCCCGCCAGGGTCTCAGATCTGCTCTGCTGGCGGGTTCCTGCAGGGTCCTGCTCTGCACAGACCCCGCCAGCTTCTCTGTGGTCTCCAGTTCTCCTGGGGGGCTGCCCAGGGAAGGAGAAGGAGCAGGTTCCTGGCTACCTCTTCCCGTACCTCCCCGTGCCCGTGGCTCTCTGAAAATGCCCTTGCCCAGGCACGAAGGGGTGTCTCTCTTCACACAGGCATCACCAACGTGAGCTTCCCCTTGTCCGACCAGCCTGTGTTGGGAGAATGGTTCATTTTTGTTGAAATGCAAGGCCACGCGTACAACAAGTCTTTTGAAGTTCAGAAGTATGGTAAGTTGGAGAATCTCAGGGTCTTGGGATTTCAGATCTGGAAGAAACCTTAGAAACTGGTGAAGAAGGCTGGGTGCAGGGTATCTCGCCTGTAATCCCAGCCCTTTCGGAGGCCCAGGTGGGCGGATCACTTGAGGTCAGGAGTTCGAGACCAGCCTGGCCAACATGGTGATACCTCATGTCATTACCAAAAATACAAAAATTAGCTGGGCGTGGTGGCATGTGCCTGTAATCACATGTGATGATTGGGTATAGTTTCAGGCGATGCTCTTACACTCTTGCTTTTTTTTTTTTTTTTTTTTTTTTTGAGGCAGGGTTTCACGCCCATCACCCAGGCTGGAGTGCAGTGCAGTGGTGTGATCCTGGCTCACTGAAGCCTTGACTTCCCAAATTCAGGTGATCCTCCCTCCTCAGCCTCCTGAGTTGCTAGGACAACAAGTGTGAGCCACCACACCCGATTAATTTTTGTATTAGTAGAGACAGGGTTTCGCCGTATTGGCCAGGCTAGTCTCGAACTCCTGGCCTCAAGCAATCCTTCCGCCTCAGTCTCCCAAAGTGCACTCTTGCCTTTTATAGGAAAAAAGTATTGTAGGCCAGGCATGGTGGTGGCTCACACATGTAATCCCACCACTTTGGGAGGCTGAGGTGGGAGGATCGCTTGAGGCCAGGAGCTTGAGACCAGCCTGGACAACACAGTCCCTGTCTGTACAAAACTTTAAAACAATTATTTGGACGTGGTGACACCTGCCTGTAGTTCCTGCTACTGGGGAAGCTGAGGCGGGAGGATCGCTTCAGCCTGGGAGATCAAGGCTACAGTGAACTGTGATTGCACCACTGCACTCCAGTTTGGGTGACAAAGTGAAACCCCGTCTCAGAAAAAAAAGATGGCCGGGCACGGCAGCTAATGTCTGTAATCCCAGCATTTTGGGAGGCCGAGGTAGGTGGATCACTAGAGGTCAGGAGTTCAAGACCAGCCTGGCCAACATGGTGAAACCCCGTCTCTACTAAAAATACAAAAATTAGCCAGGCGTGGTGGCTTGTGCCTGTAATCCCAGCTACTTGGGAGGTTGAGGCAGGAGAATTGCTTGAACCAGGAGAAGGAGGAGGTTGCAGTGAGCCAAGATCGTGCCACTGCACACCAATCTGGGAGACACAGCGACACTCTGTCTCAAAAAAAAAATAAATAAAATAAAAGGGATTCTTAGGCTCCTACAAGAGTTCTCTCAGGACCCGATTCTTTCTGGTTTTCTGGCTGCTTCAGTGTGTCACCTCGGCCCCTAGTGACAAAATGGCTTGACACTCCCAAGGCTGAGTCCAGAAGCAATTGGAGAAGTCAGTTCTCCGCGGCAGTCACCCCGGGGATGCCCCTTGTTGGCTCCCAGGGTCACAGGGGCTGGGAGGAGCCTCCTGGCCTCGTGTCCACCCTGGGATAGGCTGGAATCCACTACACTCTAAGCACGTGGTCTGAAAGTGACAGGAGGAGGCCCCTTGAGGAAAATGGGGTCCTGGTCCCCCAAATGTGAGAAATAGATGCAGCCGCTGTGGTCCTGCAGATGCCTTGCACGGGTGTCAGGGCCCCTGAGGCCACCTTAGGGACAGAAGCCAGCCCCTCCTCTCTGCTTTCTTTCTTCAGTGTTGCCCAAGTTCGAGCTCCTGATTGACCCGCCCCGGTATATCCGAGACCTGGACGCCTGTGAGACAGGCACTGTGCGAGCCAGGTGAGAAAGAGGGACCCCTGGGGCGCGCTGCGGGGGTCCTTCCCCTTCCCCAACCATCACGCCACTCCCTCAAGGTCGTTCTCCTCCTCTGCTGCCTCCCTCCCTCCCACATAGGTGTGCCCCCTCCCTTCCTGGTTCTCTCCTCCCTGGGATGTGCCCCTCCCACTAGCATCTCCCTTTCCTGTGACTCTCCCCTGTGGGTGCTCCCTCCTTAGGATGTGCCCCTCCCCTTAGAGTATCTCCCTCCTCCCCCAGGCTCCTCCCCTGTGGGCGCCTCCTCCCCGGGGTGTCCCCTTCCCCCTAAAGTATCCTTCCCTGCTGGGCTCCTCCCCTGTGGGTGCCCCCTCCCCAGGATGTGCCCACCCCCCAGAGCATCACCCTTTCCTGTGCCCCTCCCCTGGGGGCGCCCCCTCCCTGCAGTGTACCCCTCTCCCTAGAGCATCTTCCTCTCCCCTGGGCCCCTCCTCTGCCCTCCCCTTCCCTCTCCCCCCACAACCGGGTTTCTCCCTCCTCCTACAGGCAGACACTTCTACCATGGCCTCCCTGCTCCCCCAAGGGTGCCCCGCTCCCTCCCTCCTTTGTACTTGGTGTCTCACTGCCACATGAACCTCTTGCGCTGTACCCACCGCCTGTCTTCGTTGGCATGCTGGTGTCCCCACCCTTATGAGCACACCCCTGTCTCTTCAAAGCATGCCCCTCTCCCACTGTGTGTTCCTTACTCAAGTCCTGCCCTTCCCCTCTAAAATCTTCCCTCCCCAAAGGTCTCCCCTCCCCAAGGAATGCCCTACCCCCAGGGTGTGCCTCTCCTGCACTAGCACCTCCCTTCCCCAGGGCGTCCCCTCCCAACCCCACCAAGTTGCCCCCTCCCCCAAGGCTGCTCCCCGCCCTCTGTAGGCCTCCCTGGCACAAGCAGCACCCGCAGCCAGCGTGCTGACCCGAGAGGGGTTGATCCTTGTTGTTTTTTTTTCAGACGGAGTCTTGCTCTGTCGCCCAGGCTGGAGTGCAGTGGCACAGTCTCAGCTCACTACAACCTCTGCCTCCCGGGCTCAATCGATTCTCCTGTCTCAGCCTCCCGAGTAACTGGGATCACAAGCATGTGGCACCACACCCAGCTAATTTTTGTATTTTTAGTAGAGACGGGGTTTCACCATGTTGGCCAGGCTGGTCTCGAACTCCTGACCTCAAGTGATCTGCCCACCTGGGCCTCCCAAAGTGCTGGGATTACAGGCATGAGCCACCATGCCCGGCCTGCACTCTCCCCGTGCACCAGCATTCCCTCTGCATCAGGAATGACATACAGACATTTAAAGTTTCACCATCACCCCTGCGAAGGTAGTTTGATTCCCATTCTCTGGGTGAGGAAACTGAGGCTCAGAGAAGTCCAGTCCCTGGTTCAAGGTTGAGCTTAATAGGGCGCTTAGGCTCAGGTGCCCCTCAGGGGCCCACAGTTGCTCATGCCTCTGCACTACTCTGCTCCAGAGGAGCACCAACCTAGCCTTCTCAGTTCCAGAGTTCCTCTCTGACCCTCGGTCTCTTTTTCTGTCCACCTGGAGGCTTGGTGCAGAGGATCGGAGAGCCTTGGCATCTTCTGCCCCGACTCCAGGCTGCAGGGGGAGCTGTCAGGACTGGATGCAGGGTGGGAAGGGAGCTGCATTTGTCACTGTACTAGTGGCCACACTGTGCCAACCTGGCCTTCCTGAGGCTGGGCCCTCCCTGCCATCTTGGCTGTGAAATTGAGCATGCTTTATCCTTTTGTTCCAGGTATACCTTTGGGAAACCCGTGGCTGGTGCCTTAACGATCAACATGACTGTTAATGGTGTGGGGTACTACAGCCACGAGGTGGGACGCCCCGTCCTCAGAACAACCAAGGTGAGAAACAGGGACCCCTTCTACCCCCTGACTCAACCCCCAGGTTCACCTCCAAGATCACGCATTTTATTTTACTTTCTTTTATTATTATTATTTTATTTACTGCCTTTAAAATATTTTGATTAGAGACAGGGTCTCACTATGTTGCCCAGGCTGGTCTTGAACTCCTGGGCTCAAGCGATCCTCTGGCCTTTGCACTTGAAAGTGCTGGGATGACAGGTGTGAGCCGCTGCTGTTTTACTTTCTGAAACAGTTATATGGCAGGGATTTTTCTGATGATAAAATTCCTGCAGGCTGAATATAGAGACTTTAGAAAATATAAAAAGGAAGAAAATAAAGATAACTTGCTTCTCCAATAGGTGGACACGACCACTATCAATATTGTGATGTGTTTCCTCGCAGGTTACTGTATGTAAAGTTAAAAAAAAACCCACCAATTTGGCCGGGTGTGGTGGGTCATGCCTGTAATCTCGGCACTTTGGGAGGCTGAGGCGGGTGGATTACTTGAGGCCACGAGTTCGAGACCAGCCTGGCCAACTTGGCGAAACTGCGTTTCTACTAAAAACACAAAAATTAGCTGGTTATGGTTGTGCATGCCTGTAATCCCAGATACTCAGGAGGCTGAGGCTGGAGAATCACTTGAACCCTAAAGGCAGAGGTTGCAGTGAGCCAAGACTACGTCACTGTACTCCAGCCTGGGCAACAGAGTGAGACTACACCTCAAAAAACAAACAAAAAAACATGAATAAACACTAATTTTATTCCTTGGAGTCCCAGCTTTTAATATTTGGAAGGCAGAGGCAGGAAGATCTCTTGAGCTCAGGAGTTCGAAGCCAGCCTGGGCAACATAGTGAGATCCCATCTCTAAAATAAAATAAAAGTGTAAACAATTTTATTGAGATATCATTCACATTGCATACAGTTCACCCATGTAGAGTGTACAGTTTGATCATCTTCATATGGTTGCAAAGTTATGCAACCAATGCTGTTATCCAATTTTAGAATTGTTCCACCATCCTTCCCTACATCCTTCATGTCCTTTTGTAGAGAATCCCCATTTCCCTCCTCCAGTCCCTGGTAACTACTAATCTGTTTTCTGTCTCTGTGGATTTACCTGTTCTGGACATTTCTGTGAATGAATCATACACTATATGTCCTTTTGTGTCTGGCTTCTCTAACTCAGCATCATGTTTTTGATGTTCATCTACATTGTAGCAGGATCAATACTTCATTCCTTTTTTATGGCTGCATCATATTCCCTGGTACAGATGGACCACAAAGTGTTTATCCCTTCATCCAGTGGTGGACATTTGGGTTGTTTCTGCTTTTTGGCTATTATGTCTCATGCTACTATGAACATCCCTGTGCAAGTTTTTCTGTGGACTTACGTTTTTGTTTCTCTTGGGTTCCTTCCTAGGAGCAGAATTGCTAGGTCAGAGGGTAACACTGTGTAACCTTTTGAGGAAATACCAAATGGTCAATGTGGCTGCACTGTTTTACATTCCCACATGTTTAAAGTTTTGTAACCTTTTTTGGTCTTTCAGCATAATGTTACATTGTGAGTGGGCAACTGTACAACAGACACCCTCCTTCCTGGAGATTCCCATCCCTCTGTAGGTGCCCTGACATTAACCCTTTCAGCACTGGCTCTTCCTCACCTCCCACCCAAAGCTCCTTCTTAGTCCCTTTCCCACCTGGGACGTATCTGCTCCAATGGGTTCCCCTCTCTTATATCTGAGATATCTTTAATTTAATTTAATTTAATTTAATTATTTATTGAGATGGAGTCTCGCTGTGTCTCCCAGGCTGGAGTGCAATGGCGCGATCTTGGATCACTGCAGCCTCTGCCTCCTGGTTCAGGCAATTCTCCTGCCTTAGCCTCCCAAGTAGCTGGGATTACAGGCACGCACCACCATATCGGGACAATTTTTGTGTTTTTAGTAGAGACAGGGTTTCACCATGTTGGCCAGGTTGGTCTTGAACTCCTGACCTTAAGTGATCTACCCCTGCCGGCCTCCTAAAGTGCTGGGATTACAGGTGTGCGCCACCACACCTGGCCCATCTCTCTGCTCTCTGAGGCTTCTCTTCCATGGATTGAACACCATAACCCCCCATCTCTCCCATTCCTGCCACTGGTACCTTGGAGAATCCCAGCCATTCTCCTGGGAGGCTACCAGCTGGTAGTCTTTGTCTTAGTTCTGTCATTTCCGGAGTGATTTACTCCACAGCTCCTTCTGAATAAGGATTATTTGCCAAGTCCCAGGGTGGGATCCTGAGATAGGAATTGAATGAGGGAGTTCTGGTGCCCCAGAGTGGGGCTGAACAGGTTCAGATGCCCCCTCTGTTGCCTGGGCTGTGGGAGATTGTGTCAGCATGGGAATTTCTTTCCTCTTTTTTTTTTTTCTTAACCCAGGCTGGAGTGCAATGGCACAATTCAGGCTCACCTCAACCTCTGCCAAGTGATTCTCATGCCTCAGCCTCCTGAGTAGCTGGGATTACAGGTGCCCGCCACCACACCCAGCTAATTTTTGGTAGAGATGGGGTTTTGCCATGTTGGCCAGACTGATTTCAAACTCCTGACCTCAAGTGATCTGCCTGCCATGGCCTCCCAAAGTGCTGGGATTAAAGGCATGAGCCACTGTGCCTGGCCTTTTTCCTCTTCTGCCCAATGGAGCCAACGTCCATCTTCCCCGGGATGTTGTCCAGATCCAGTGAGGGACCCTCTGCACGGTCCCGGGTCCCGTGGCATAGCTTGGGTATGTCACCAAGTGTCCCCTGGCCCTCCAAGCAGCCGAAGAGTCTTGCACCTCAGGTGTGTGCTTCAGGGACATCCCTCAAGGACACTCCAACCCTGAGGGAGCACGGGCTGCGTTTTTCCTCCTTCCAGATCCTCGGGTCCCAGGACTTCGACATCTGCGTGAGGGACATGATCCCAGCGGACGTCCCTGAGCACTTCCGGGGCAGGGTCAGCATCTGGGCCACAGTGACCAGTGTGGACGGGAGCCAGCAGGTGGCGTTCGACGACTCCACCCCCGTGCAGAGGCAGCTGGTGGACATCCGGTACTCCAAGGACACGAGGAAGCAGTTCAAGCCGGGCCTGGCCTACGTGGGGAAGGTAACTTGGGGGTGACTGTACCGCATCCCGCCCCAGGACCACCGTGAAACCACCACCACTAGCCACTAGCTCCGCAGTGGTGACTCAGCTGAAAACGGATTCCCTGACACAACCTTTGCGGAGTGTGGTGAGGGCTGGTGTTCCAGGTGAGGGGCAGGGGACATTTTCCTCTATGGGAAAGGACGATCTACTCTATTCCACTTGGGCAGACATTTGAGTAGCCATTTATTTATTTACTTATTTATTTTATTTATTTATTTTTTTGAGATGGAGTCTTGCTCTGTCGCCCAGGCTGGAGTGCTGGAGTGCAGTGGCACGATCTCGGCTCACTGCAAGCTCCGCCTCCTGGGTTCATGCCATTCTCCTGCGTCAGCCTCCCGAGTAGCTGGGACTACAGGCGCCCGCCACTTTGCCCGGCTAATTTTTTGTATTTTTTTAGTAGAGACGGGGTTTCACCGTGTTAGCCAGGATGGTCTTGATCTCCTGATCTCATGATCCACCCACCTTGGCCTCCCAGAGTGCTGGGATTATAGGCGTGAGCCACCGCGCCCGGCCTTGAGTAGAGGCAGTCCTGTTTCTTCAATGGGTTGTTTTTTTTTGAGACACAGTCACACTCCATCGCCCAGGTTGAAGTGCAGTGGCTCCATCTCGGCTCACTGCAACCTCCGTCTCCCAGGTTCAAGTGATTCTCCTACCTCAGCCTCCCGAGTAGCTGAGATTACAGGCACCTACCATCAAGCCCAGTTAACTTTTGTATTTTTAGTAGAGACGGGGTTTTGCCATGTTGGCCAGGCTGGTCTCGAACTCCTGGCCTCAAGTGAACCTCCAGCCTTGGCCTCCCAAAGTGCTCGGGTTACAGGAGTGAGCCATCACTCCTGGCCCTTCACTGGGTTGATTTTATCCCCTGAGGACCTAAGTTGAGAGCCCTGCAGAGGTAGATCTCCTGTTCCTGCGACTGACAGGTGCAGACCTGTGTGACATTTTGAACGAGCCTCTGCCTCCCACCCACCACTCAAGTCTTATGCACAGTAAATTTTGAGGTGTCCAGATGTCGTGATCCTTATATATGTTTTTTTCTTAGAGACAGAGTTTTGCTCTCTAAGAGCCCAGGCTGGAGTGCAGTGGTGAGATCATAGCTCCTTGCAGCCTCGACATCCTGGACTCAAGCAATCTGCCTGCCTCAGCATCCTGGGTAACTGGTACTGCAGGCATGAGCCACCAGGCCCAACAAATTTTTTTTATTTTTAAATTTTTATTTATTTATTTTTGAGACAGTCTCGCTCTGTCACCCAGGCTGGAGTGCAGTGGCTCGATCTTGGCTAATTGCAACCTCTGCCTCCTGGGTTCAAGCAATTCTTCTGCCTCAGCCTCCTGAGTAGCTGGGATTACAGGCATGCCCCACCACACCCCGCTAATTTTTGTGTTTTTAGTAGAGACGGAGTTTCACCATGTTGGCCAGGTTGGTCTCGAACTCCTGACCTCAGGTGATCCACCTGCCTCAGCCTCCCAGAGTGCTGAGATTGCAGGTATGAGCCACGGTGCCTGGCTAATTTTTAAATTTTTTGTAGAGATGGGATCTTGCTGTGTTGGCCAGACTGGTCTTAAACTCCTGGGCTCAAGCAGTTCTCCTACCTCAGACCCACAAAGTGCTGGGATTGTGGGTGTGAGCCACTGCACCCAGTCATTATTCTTATTTTAACTATTAAACTGGGGTGGGCTGGGCATGGTGGCTCATGACAATAATCCCAGCACTTTGGGAGGCCCAGGTGGGTGGATGACCTGAGGTCGGGAGTTCAAGACTAGCCTAGCCAACATGGTGAAATACTGTCTCTACTAAAAATACAAAAATTAGCCAGGCATGGTGGTGGACACCTATAATCCCAGTGACTCAGGAGACTGAGGCACGAGAATTGCTTGAATGCGGGAGGCGGAGGTTGCAGTGAGCTGAGATCACACCACAGCACTCCAGCCTGGGAGACAGAGTGAGACTCTGTCTCAAATAAAAAAACCAAAAAAATAAAAAAATGAACCTGGGGTAACCTCACCCCAATTGCAGCAGCAGGAGTGGGGCAAGGCCAACAGAGCCCAGTGTCATGCAAGGGGAAAGTGGGCCACACCCCTGGCCCTGCGTCTGCCTGCACCCAGTTCCCTTTTGCTGTCCATGAGTGATGCTGGCTGGCTGTCCTCACACTGAGTTCTGACCCTCTTGCTCTGCTTTGGAACCTCCTTTTTCTTCTCCATGCCAGTGTTGGAACCACCTCTATCCCATGCACAGAGACCTATTTCCTGTGTCCCTGGCTTTGAGGGCCCCAGCTTGAGTAGAAACTAAAGTACCTTGTGCAGGGTCAGAATGTGTGTGAAGAAGAGGTTTAAGGCTACAAATTTGGTAAAGAGCATTTCACATACAACAGAAAATATCTACCATCTGCATTCAAGAAAGGAGTGGTTAGGCTGGGCATGGTGGCTCATGCCTGTAGTTCCAGTGCTTTGGGAGGCTGAGGCAAAAGGACCACTTGAGGCCAAAAGTGTGAGACCAGCCTGGGCAACATAGTGAGATCCAGTCTCTACAAAAAATAAAACTAGGCCAGGCGTTGGTGGCTCACACTTTGAGAGACCAAGGTGGGAGGATTGCTTGAGACTGGGAGTTTGAGACCATCCTCAGCAATAGAGCAAGACCTCAGCTCTACAAAATTTTTTTTTTTTTTTAATTAGCCAGGCATAGTATTGCACACCTGTGGTCCCAGCTATCAGGAGGATGAGGCAGGAGGATTGCTTGAGCCCAGGAGGTAGAGGCGGCAGTGAGCTATGATCGGGCCACTTCACTCCAGCCTGAGCAACAGAGTGAGACTCTGTCTCTCAAAAAAGAAAAAAAAAAAAGAAGGAAGTGGTTAATGAGGATCAGGTGGGCTGAATCCTGATTCACTCCATCACCAAATACCTGCACAACTGAGGGCTGTTTTAGGGTTCTTCAGAAGCTCCTTTTAAAACATCCATGTCTGCCTCATTCTAGCTGGCTCTCCATCCAGTCTGAATGGGTGAGGTTTAAGTGTCACACTGAACTGTCCATACCCTGATATGGCTTCAGACTAATGGCCGGCACACATAATTTGTGCTTCATGACCTCTTTGCCAAATCCAAGGGCATGAAGGTCTACCCTTATGTTTTCTTCTAAGAATGTTATAGCTTTAGCTATTACATTTAGGTCTGTGATCCATTTGAGTTTATTTGTGTATATGGTGTGAGGTAGGGATGCAACTTCATTTAAAACATTTTTTTTTTCTTAAGAGACTGGGTCTCATTTAGTCACCCACGCTGGAGTGCAGTGGCACCATCATAGCTCTCTGTAGCCTTGAACTCCTAGACTCAAGTGATCCTCCTGCCTCAGGCTCCTGAATAGTTGGGACTATAGGTGCATGCCACCACTCCTGAAATTTTTAAGTTTTTTGTAGTGAGGTCTCACTATGTTACCCAGGCTGGTCTGGAACTCCTGGCCTCAAGTGATCCTCCTGCTTTGGCCTCCCAAAGTGTTGGGATTACAGGTGTGAGCCACTGCACCCACCCTTCCATGTCTGACTTGGAAGCCTCCTGAGTAGCTGGGACCACAGGCACACGCCACCAGACCTGAACCTGTGAGTCCTTCTTTTTTGTTCCCTTTAAGAATTGTTTTCGCTATTTGGGACCCATTGGATGCCGTGTGAATTTCAGGAGCAGTTTGTCAATTTCTACAAAGAAGCCCGCTGGGATTCCAGTGGAGATTGTGTTGATTCTGCAGATCAGTTTGGGGCGCATGGCTGTCTTAACTCTGTTGTGTCTTGGGTGACCTTTCCTAGGTGGAGCTATCCTACCCAGATGGCAGCCCAGCTGAGGGGGTGACGGTCCAGATTAAGGCAGAGCTGACACCGAAGGATAACATCTACACCAGTGAAGCTGTGTCCCAGGGTGGACTGGTGGGGTTTGAAATCCCCTCTATCCCCACGTCAGCCCAGCATGTGTGGCTTGAGGTGGGTGAGTCCCATGGACCCTTGTTATTCAGTAGGTATGGACTTGGGGACTCCCCTAGGCTGGGTGCAGGCACCTGATCAGTGGGCCTGGAGCCCATCCTAGCCCTACAGCAGTACACATTCCACTGGACAGTGGGATGGACAACACAGCCATCCTGGGATCGGGTGGGAGGTCAAAGAGAGATAAGGGTGCCTGGACCAGTTGTAGCAAAGGAGTCTTGTCAGAGGGGATCTCTCCAAATGGACTCCTGACTATGGGGACGTCAGCCAGGCTGCTTCTGGGAGGGTGGAACAGCATGGGTGGAGGTTCAGAGGCAGACCGTGATTATATGATCTCACAGGCGCTCAACCACATTGAGTCATTTTGGAAAGAGATCGGGTAGAGAGCCAATGGTGGTTTCCGCCACCTCACAGGGGTACTCAGTGGAAGGCAGTATCAGGGGAAAGAGTGATCTTATTTTTTGTTTATTTTTTAAGAGACAGGGTCTCGCTCAGTTGCTCAGGCTGCAGTGCAGTGGCACCATCATAGCTCACTGCAGCCTCGAACTGCTGGGCTAAAGCAGTCCTCCTGAGTTAGCCTCCCAAGTACCTGAGATTACAGGTGCATGCCTGTAATTAGCACCACACCCAGCTAATTTTAAAAATTTTCTGTAGAGGCTGGGCACAGTGGCTCATGCCTGTAATCCCAGCACTTTGAGAGGCTGAGCTGGGCGGATCACCTGAGGTCAGGAGTTCGAGACCAGCCTGGCCAACATGGGGAAATCCCGTCTCTACTAAAAATACAAAAATTAGCCAGGTGTTGTGGCAGGCGCCTATAATCTCAGCCACTCAGGAGACTGAGGCAGGAGAATTGCTTGAACCTGAGAGGCAGAGGTTGCAGTGAGCTGAGATTGTGCCATTGCACCCCAGCCTGGGCAACAGAGTGAGACTCCATCTCAAAAACAAACAAACAAACAAATAAATCAATAAATAATAAATTTTTCTGTAGAGATGGGATCTTGCTATGTTGCCCAGGCTAGTCTCAAACTCCTGGCTTCAAGCCATCCTTCCATTTCAGCCTCCCAAAGCATAGGGATTACAGGCCATGAGCCGCCATGTCTGGCCTGATCTGATTTTTGATACCCAGTGATCACTCCAGAGTCTTCAGTGAGGGGTGGCTCAAGGAGGGCCCAGGCAGGCAGACAGGAGATGAGGACAGAGAGGTCCCTAAACTGGAGCTCTTGAAGAAGTAGATCCAGCAGGCCTTGGTGTCCCATCATCAGGGGAGGGAAGAACAGGAGGGACTGGAGAGGATGTCCCAGCACTTGGCTTTGGGAACTGGCAGTGGACCTGGCGGCCCTGCAGAGAGTAAATACGTAGATGGGAACTGAGGACACTGTGGTCACTTTGTCCTCTGTGGGCATCATATCCCTAAAGGTTTTAACTACTGAAGCCACTGCCTTTGCCTCTCGACATTCACAGCCAGATGTGTTCATGCTTTCTTGTGTTGGATCTCCTGCTCGACACACAGCAGCTGTTTGGTCACCTGGGCCTGTTTTTTTTTGTTTTTTAAAATCAGAGTCTTGCTCTATCACCTAGGCTGGAGTGCAGGGGTGCAATCTTGACTCACTGCAACCTCCGCCTCCCAGGTTCAAGTGATTCTCCTGCCTCAGCCTCCCAAGTAGCTGGGATTACAGGCGCCCCCCACACCACGCCTGGCTAATTTTTGTATTTCTAGTAGAGATGGGGTTTCACCATGCTGGTCAGGCTGATCTTGAACTACTGACCTCAGGCAATCCACCTGTCTCGGCCTCCAAAAGTGCTGGAATTACAGCTGTGAGCCACTGTGCCAGGCCCACTGTCTTGTTTTCTTTTTTTTATTGTTTGTTTGTTTGTTTTTTTGAGGCGGAGTCTCGCTCAGTTGCCCAGGCTGGAGCGCAGTGGCGCGATCTCGGCTCACTGCAAGCTCCGCCTCCCGGGTTCACGCCATTCTGCTGCCTCAGCCTCCCGAGTAGCTGGGACTAGAGGTGCCCGCCACCACGCCCAACTAATTTTTTTGTATTTTTAGTAGAGATGATTTTCACCATGTTAGCCAGGATGGTCTTGATCTCCTGACCTCGTGATCCCCCGTCTCGGCCTCCCATAGTGCTGGGATTATAGGTGTGAGCCACCGCCCCTGGCCCCACTGTCCTGTTTTAAGAGAATGACCATAGCTTGGCATCTCTCAGACTCCTTGAGGAACCAGAGATCTGCCCTGCCCACCCCCTACCAGGTGGGAGGTTGCAGTGACTTCTGACACCAGCTACCGGAGCTGGGCCACACTTCACAGGTGATGGGTACAGCCCTCTCTACAAGACTACCCTGAATTCTGACACCAGCTGCAAGTCCAGGGATCCCCGGGCCACCTGTGCTTCCCACCCACTGGCTGCAAATTCCTCTACCCCACCACCTTTTAATTACAGCTTTACCATAGCAAAATGACAACCAACCAAAGAGAGAGATGCATAGAGCGAGGTCTGGGCGATTCCCAGATTGGAAGCTTTGTGTTTTCTCTGCACAGAACCAGGATATATCATCCCCACAAGCTGAGCATTGCTAAGCAGGAAAGTTCACCTGAGCTTTGGTGTCCAAAGTTTTTTGTGGGGGACTCACTTCATCTGCATGATTGGTTAAATATTTGGCCATGGGACTGATCTCAGTTTCCTGCCCTCTCCCTTGTGGGGCTGATATCCTGTGGCTCAAAGCCCAGCCATCTAATCACACAACTGGCCTTTCTGGTGTGGCCCATTTATACCCTATTTAGAGTCCCAGGAGCCAGAGACAGAAGCAGGCCAACCTTTTTTTTTTTTTTTTTTGAGATGGAGTTTTGCTCTTGTTGCCCAGGCTGGAATGCAGTGGCATGATCCTGGCTCACTGCAACCTCTGCTTCACATGTTCAAGTGATTCCCCTGCCTCAGCCTCCCAAGTAGCTGGGACTACAGGTGCACGCCACCATGCCCAGCTAATTTTTTGTATTTTAGTAGAGACAGGGTTTCACCATGTTGGCCAGGATGGTCTTGATCTCCTCACCTCGTGATCTGCCCACCTTGGCCTCCCAAAATCCTGGGATTATAGGTGTGAGTCACCACGCCCAGCCCAACTTCTTTTTTTTTTTTTTTTTTTTTTGAGACGGAGTCTCGCTCTGTCGCCCAGGCTGGAGTGCAGTGGCTGGATCTCTGCTCACTGCAAGCTCCGCCTCCCGGGTTCACGCCATTCTCCTGCCTCAGCCTCCCGAGTAGCTAGGACTACAGGTGCCCGCCACCTCGCCCGGCTAGTTTTTTGTATTTTTTTAGTAGAGACGGGGTTTCACCGGGTTAGCCAGGATGGTCTCGATCTCCTGACCTCTTGATCCGCCCGTCTCGGCCTCCCAAAGTGCTGGGATTACAGGCTTGAGCCACCGCGCCCGGCCCCAACTTCTTTTTAAAATGATTTCAGAGACGTGGTCTGGCTCTGTTGTCCAGGCTGGAGTGCAATGGTGTGATCATAGCTACTTGCAGCTTTGAACTCCCGGATTCAAGTGATCCTCCTGCGTCAACCTCCCCTAGTAGCTGAGTCTCCAGGCATGTGCCATCACGCCCCAGTAATTTTCAAAAAATTTTTTGTGGAGACCGGATCTTGCTGTGTTGCCCAGGCTGGTCTTGAACTCCTGGGCCCAAGTGATCCTCCCACCTCTGCCTCCCAAAATGCTGAGATTACAGCTATGAACCCACTGTGCCTGGCCCCCAACACCCTTCGACCAATTTTTGACACTTTCTTCTTCTTCTTCTTCTTTTTTTTTTTTTTTTTTTTTTTTGAGACAGAGTCTTGCTCTGTTGCCCAGGCTAGAGTGCAATGGTGTGATCTCGGCTCACGGCAGCCTCTGCCTCCTGGGTTCAAGCAATTCTTATGCCTCAGCCTCCCGAGTAGCTGGGATTACAGGTATGCCCCACCAGTCCTGGCTAATGTTTGTATTTTTTTTAGTAGAGACAGGATTTCACCATGTTGACCAGGCTGGTCTTGAACTCCTGACTTTAGATGATCCACCTGCTGCAACCTCCCGAAGTGCTGTGATTAGAGGTGTGAGTCACAGTGCCCAGCTGGATGCTTGCTTCTTGGAGCTAGGAAGACCAGGCTGGACAACTGGATGCTACTCCCTGAGGATTGGGGACAGGGTTCTCCAAAGGGATACTGGAGCATGAGAGGGTGATGCTTCTGAGCAGAGCAGACAGAAGCATCCCCAAGACCCCCTTTTCTACTCTTGGGACTCAGGTGTTGACCCAAGTGTCTTCTGTTCTTCAGACCAAGGTGACAGCACTGAACGGAAAGCCCGTGGGGGCTCAGTACCTGCCCAGCTACCTCTCCCTCGGAAGCTGGTACTCCCCCAGCCAGTGCTACCTGCAGCTACAGCCACCCTCCCACCCACTGCAGGTAAGATTTTCAGGCGCTGCCCTTCCTGGGCCATGCGGGATCCAAAAAGCAGCATGAGCCGGGTGCTGTGGTTCAACCTGTAATCCCAGCACTTTGGGAGGCCGAGGCGGGCGGTTCACTGGAGGTCAGGATTTTGAGACCAGCCTGTCCAACATGGTGAAACCCCATCTCTACTAAAAATACAAAAATTAGCCGGGTGTGGTGGTGCGTGCCTGTCATCCCAGTTACTCGGGAGGCTGAGGCAGGAGAACTGCTTAAACCTGGGAGGTGGAGGTTGCAATGAACTGAGATCACACCACTGCACTTCAGTCTGGGTGACAAAGCAAGATTCCTTCTCAAAAAAAAAAAAAAAAAAGCAGCATGAGTGAGCCTCTAAGGCAGCAGTAGTCAGCCTTTTGGGCACCAAAGATTAGTTTTGTGGTAGACAATTTTTCCACGGACCGCGGCACAGGTGCAGGGGATAGTTTCAGGATGATTCAAGGACTTTATGTTTATTTTGCACTTTATTTGTATTATTATGACATTGCAATATATAAGGAAACAATGATACAATTCACCTTCATGTAGAAGCAGTGGGAGCCCTGAGCTTGTTTTCCTGCAACTGGATAGTCCCATCTGGGGGTGATGGGAGACAGTGACAGATCATCAGGCATTAGATTCTCATTAGGGGCATGCAACCTAAATCCCACGCAAGCGCAGTTCACAATAGGGTTCACGCTCCTGGGAGAATCTAATGCTGCCGCTGCTGATCTGACAGGAGGCGGAGCCCACGTGGTAATGTGAGTGATGGCGAGTGGCTGTAAATACAGATGAAGTTTTTGACTGCCGGCCTGCCACTCACGGCCTGCTGTGTTACCCGGTTCCTAACAGGCCATGAATCAGTACTGATCCATGGCCCTGGGAGTTGGGGACCCCTGCTCTAAGGGACCTAACACTGCAGCTGACACAGGGATCCCTTATCTCCCCAGCAAGGGGAGAATTCTGTGGAATGCATGCATGCATTACTATTTATTTCTTTTCTTTTTTTTTTTTTTTTTTTGAGACGGAGTCTCACTCTGTCACCCAGGCTGGAGTGCAGTGGCACGATCTCAGCTCACTGCAGCCTCTGTCTCCAGGGTTCAAGTGATTCTCCTGCCTCAGCCTCTGGAGTAGCTGGGATTGCAGGTGCCCACCACCACACCTGGCTAATCTTTGTATTCCAGTAGAGATGGAGTCTCACCATGTTGGCCGGGTTGGTCTTGAACTTCTGACCTCACATGATCTGCCCACCTTGGCCTCCCAAAGTGTTGGGATTACAGACGTGAGCCACCGTGCCCAGCCCATTGCTATTTCTTTCTTTTTTTTTTTTTTTGAAACTGAGTCTTGCTCTGTCGCCCAGGCTGGAGTGCAGTGGCCAGATCTCAGCTCACTACAAGCTCTGCCTCCCGGGTTTACGCCATTCTCCTGCCTCAGTCTCCCGAGTAGCTGGGACTACAGGTGTCCGCCACCTCACCTGGCTAGTTTTTTTGTATTTTTTAGTAGAGACGGGGTTTCACCGTGTTAGCCAGGGTGGTCTCGATCTCCTGACCTCGTGATCCGCCCATCTCGGCCTCCCAAAGTGCTGGGATTACAGGCTTGAGCCACGGTGCCTGGCCTGCTATTTATTTCTTACGGACCTTTAGGCTGTGGCCCAGGGCTGACAATGATGATCACCACTTTGCCTCAGGGCATCACTGCACCCAGACTTGACACAGAGCTGCTGCTATGGGGCCGGATTCCCCACTGCCTTGAGCCTTCCCTTAGGGCAGAGGCCCTGGGAGTTTCTCCACACAGACACGCTGAGTGCGAAGACAAAGTGAACTTAGAACTGTGTCTGCCATTCATTTTTCCTGGGTCTATTATTTTGCAATTCTGATTGTATAAGATGTGTGTGTGTGTTTTTCTTTGAATTAATAGACTTATTATTATTATTATTTTTTAAGAGATGGAGTCTCGCTCTGTCGCCCAGGCTGGAGTGCAGTGGTGTGATCTCAGCTCACTGCAAGCTCCGCCTCCCGGGTTCACCCGCCATTCTCCTGCCTCAGCCTCCCAAGTAGCTGGGACTACAGGCACCAGCCACCATGCCCAGCTAATTTTTGTATTTTTAGTAGAGATGGGGTTTCACTGTGTTAGCCAGGATGGTCTCGATCTCCTGACCTTGTGATCCACCCACCTCGGCCTCCCAAAGTGCTGGGATTACAGGCGTGAGCCACTGCACCCGGCCAATAGACTTAAGTTTTTAAGAGCAGTTTAAGTTTATAAAAACCTTGAACAAAAAGTAGAGTTCCCGACCGGGTGTGGGGGCTCACACCTGTAATCTCGGCACTTTGGGAGGCTGAGGCGGGAGGATAGCTTGAGCCCAAGAGTTTGAGACCAGCCTGGGCAACATGGTGAAATGCCATCTGTATCAAAACGAAAACAAAACAAAAAAACCCCAGCTGGATGTGGTGATGCATGCCTGTAGTCCCAGCTACTCAAGAGGCTGAGGCAGGAGGATCACTTGAGCCTGGAAGATTGGGACTGCAGTGAGCCATGATCATGCCACTGTACTCCAGCCTGGGTGACAGAGCAAGACCCTGTCTCAAAACTAAATTTAACTAAATTTACCTGTAGCTTACTATTGACCAGAAGCCTTAGTGATGACATAAATGGTCATTGAACACAGATTTTGTACTTTCTATGTATGATATACTGTATTCTACAATACTGTAAGCTAGAGGAACAAAAATGTTATTAAAAAAATCATAAGGTACACTGGCAGGCTCAGGTAAAAAAACAATAATAAAGAAGAGAAAATATCTTGACTGTTCATGAAGTGGGAATGGATCATTGTAAAGATCTTCTTCCTTGTCGTCTTCATGTTGAATAGGCTGAGGAGGAGGAGGAAGAGGAGGGGTGGGTCCTGCTGTCTCAGGCAGAGGTGGAAGAAAATCCACATATTAGTGACATGGGCAATTCAAACCTGTATTTTTCAAGGGTCACCTGTTTATATGTGCATATATATGTATATGCTGTGTACATGTGTGTTCATAGACATCTAGATACATATATATCCACGTATATATATGTATATATATCCACGTATATATATGTATATATATCTTTTTTTTTTTTTTTGACAGAGTCTCACTCTGTCACCCAGGCTGGAGTGCAGTGGCACAATCTCAGCTCACTGCAACCTCTATCTCCCAGGTTCAAGCGCTTCTCCTGCCTCAGCCTCTTGAGTAGCTGGGATTACAGGCACCTGCCACCATGCCCAGCTAATTATTTTTGTATTTTTAGTAGAGACAGGGTTTCACCATGTAGACCAGGATGGTCTCAAACTCCTGACCTCAGGTGATCCACCTTCTTCGACCTCCCAAAGTGTTGGGATTACAGGCGTGAGCCACTGCGCCCGGCCATACACATCTATATTTAAGGTCCATCACCCCTCTGTTAACTCCGTGGGCTGGTGGCAGGCTCACTGGCTGGGCCGTTTGCATCCTGGCCGCAATCCCAGCAGAGCCTCTGGCTCAAGCTACAGCCCCAGCCTTGGCAGAAATGTCACCCCTAATGGAAACCAGTTGCCATTACAGCACCCAGGGCCCTACCAGCCCATAAACTTCTCACTCGTTTTCTGATCACATCGAGGCCCCTGGGGTTCAGCTTGGAGGAATCGTGGCGCCGAGACTGCCTGTTTCCTGGGATTAACAGCCCTTTGCAGAGGTTGTAAGAACGAGAAGTCAGACAGGATCATGTCCAGCTTGGCTGAACACACTGTTCTTGTTGTAATGCCATTAAACCAGCGGTGCAGGGCGGGGACACTGGCACTGGCCTCCTCCTCAGGGGGCAGGAAGGAACCTTGTGTTCTCAGCTGGCCAGACTGTTGTTCTGATTAGGGAGAGACCTGGCTCTGTCACTTAGATTTTGCTCCCCGAGTGACATCTCAATCCAGTTTGAGGTGGCTCAGCAAACGCCAGCTCCTTCTTCCCACCAAACTGCCGTGAGTGGCCCAGGCACAACCTCAGGGCATGGAGGGAAGATGGGTTCATGCTGGGGCTAGGATGGGCATGGTGCAGGGACCTCTTTCTCTTCTAGCACCAGGGCCCAGGCAGCGGGGAGCTGGGATCTCGACTCTCCACGTCTCAGCACCTACCCTTCTGAACCTGTTTTGCTTGTTGAACGGGGGCTGTCACTCCAATCTTTTAAGATTGTTTTGATGCCACAGATTTAGTAAAGAAGAGGAGAAAGGTTTGTGCTCTCCTTTTCCCCCCCAAGATCTCAAGCAGAAGGGGACTTTTGTGTGGGTGTCTTTTTATAAGGGGGACATTTATAAATTTAGAGTGAAATTGAAAATGTTAATGTAATAAACAACCATAAGACTTTCACCTAGATTTATAAATTAATGTTTTGCCTATATCCTTTCATTAATCCCTCCATCCACCCTCCATCCCTCTCTCCATCCCTCCATCTATCCCTCTCTTCATCCCTCCATCCATCCGTCCTCTCTCCCTCCATTCATTCACCCTTCCTCCCTTTTTCTTTCCTCCCTCCCTCCCTCCACCCAACCATCCACCTACTACCCTTCATCCAGTCATCTTCTCTCCATCCATCTACCCTTCATCCATCCATCCATCCTCCATCTATCGATTCATCCATCCATCCACCCTCCCTCTGCACCTCCCTTCATCCCTCCATCATCCATCCATCTATTTACTCTCCCTCCCTCCTTTCTTCCTTCCTTCTTTCCTTTCTCCACCCAGCTATCCACCCACTACCCCTATCCATTTATCTACCATCCATCTGCCCTTCATCCATTCGTCCACCCTTCATTCGTCCATCCATACATGCACCCGTCATCCTTCCATTCATCCACTCTTCCTCCATCCATTCTCCCTCTGTCCCTCCCTTCATCCATCCATCCATCTACCAATTCACCCATCCACCCATTTCTCTACACATTTTTTGGCTGCAGCATTTGAAAGCAAGTTACAGATATGATA